CCAGAGCTTTCGGACAACACTAGTCCTTCCTCAGTGGCGAGTGAGTGAGGGTAGAAAAAGCTAGATGGTATAAAGTGAGAATTTCATGCAAGCATGATTGGAAACAATAGGCTGGGTGAGGGTGAGACGTATGTTCCGGTCCTATCATATGTAGTGAGACTGATCACAAGTAACAGAAAACAAGGGTTGACGTATTTCAGAAACATAATAATATATTTATTTGAACACAAATATTTCGGTCGTCCCTGCAACCTTCTTCAGTGTGAACTGAACATACAACAAACTTTGCATAGAGTATATTGGCACATCAAGGAAGTAATTAGGCATAAATATTAGCATGACAAAATAAGGTGATTAATGGAATAACTAATTGTTTATGTGTGGTCAGATAGCAGATATAAATTGTTTGCCTAACAAATATAAGTTCATTGGTCATTTGATATATTGGATTTAAACAAAATAGTTGATGAAAATATATAATGGTAATATATACTATAATATATATTATAATATATATATATATAGTTAGGCCTCCCTTAATAATAATATAGGCCCTACGGGGCCTAGGACATATATAAATATATAAACATTAATTATATGATTTAGGCCTTAGGCTAGCTAGGCCTATTCTAATAATTAATAGTCCTATGCCTAGGCTAGGCCCTAGAAACAAGAAATATTTCCTATAAAAAACACCGCAAATTCTGTAGCTTATTTATTTGTGTATAAATTTTGTTATTGTATTTAAGTTAGCTGTTTCAATAAATAAATCTGTAACTGTATTTTCCTATAGATCAATAAATATAGCCGTATGCTTATTTATTGTTAAGGATAAGTATATAAATTAATTAAGATTATTTTAAAAATAAAATTTATGTTAAAATAATAAAACGAATATGGAATTATCAAAGGGTGGTTCATCTAATACACTATTCAGACTAGACTTTGCATTGCGACCGGTTTCGATGTAATCGGTGGTAAACAGTTGTAATCCAAATTGTTCGCAACCATTCGCAAACTTCGACAGCATTCAGACACCTTTTTATTTTGATACTTTACATCACTATAGCTTCCCCACCCCTCCCTGTCAGGGAGAAAAACCATAATTTGTTGGGGAGGAAAAAAAATCATATGTATTTTGTACATATTAGTATTTAAATAAGCCTTTGAATCCCATAAATTCCCCTCCCCCCCCCCACCTCAGACCACTTTCGGAAGATTTTTAAGCGACGCTTGATCACGCCAACTTTGCTCCGTCAAGGAAATCTTCCCCCATTGGACAAATGTTTCGGGATGTCCACGCCAAATCCATCTTTTTCTCTTGCTGTGTGCACCATTTCACTCTTTCCCAATAAATATCGATTTCATCTCTTAATATTTTACGTTGTTTTCCCATCCATGGGGTCTGTTACTGTTTGTATTTGCTTGTACTACTTCTGACTATAGTACAAAATACTACAAGTTCAACAACCAAAATGAAAACCACTGAGCCAAATAAAATAGAATAAAATTTTAAAAAGCCCTAGGCCTACCTATACTATTCCTAGTCTAGGTCCTATTTTATTGGTTAGTTTAAGCAGCACTACTACTAAAACTACTACTAATTCCTACCCTCTCAACTGCTACTACCTACTAGTACCAGGTCTAGGCCTAGTAAACTACTCTCTAGGCCTATCTACACTGTAAAGTAACGCCTGCGCGGAGAATATTATCCTTCGCGCAAAAATTAGACCTACCTAGGGCCCCAGACCAAGGCCTAAGAAATCCGTCCACGCATAAATTCGGGAAATAAAGCCGGATTTCAGTGAAGATTTTGTCGAAAATTAGGCTTTGACCTAATCTTTATATATGACCAATGTATTATGCATTAATAACGATTATGCGCACCTGTTTTCCTAACGATTTTCCACGCAAATTTAAGCTACTTTTTTGAGGTTTCACTCAAATTAAAAAACTTCACAGTATGGTGGTGTAGGCTAAAACCTGACTGAACGAAATAAATCCGTTCATAAATAATGCGCATGTTCGTAATGCAGATACAATGGGAAATTTTGAGTGGCCCTGGCAGTATAATTTTCCTCCATTTTTCACGTAAGCATACATGATTGCTAACTAATCTATACTAGATCATAGAGTAAATTGTTTTCATATTATTACAAACGAAAATTTCACACTAACCTACCGCCACTTACCACAAAAATACATACCGATTTGTCAGGCTTCTCTGAGCTTTTGACATAGTCCTAGGCCTACCTTTAGGCCTCCCTCCCTACCTACCTAGTAGCTGGCCTGCGAAGTAGTAGTAGGCCTAGGCTATTGTCACGATTCCGTGTGAATAAATAATTTATATTGAATCGCACGGCACCTTCCGAACAAAAATCATTTATTTTACCTCTATACAAAAATAAAGACCCAACTCATTTTTTGTGATTGTCAGAAACGCCTAGCTACCTAAATAAATTAAAGGCCCCAGCCCTAGGCTGCTGTTGGCTAGCTTTTCTGAGAGTTGGTGCCATTTTTTAAGGATACCTAACCTAAATACATGTCAAACCGTACCCAAATTTTAGTCAACCGTACCCACAATTTTGGTCAACCTGTACACATCTTTGGTCAAACCGTACACAGCATACACTAACCCGTACCCAAGTTTGATGAATGATATTTTTACTATATAAAACATTTTGCAAACTGTATTGTATATTAGAGTAATCATATTCAACTATATTATGAACGCCAAGCTTACGGGTTAGAATACATAATTACTTTTACCGAGCATATTCATGATCGCCTAGGCCAGACACGTTGGTCGCGATTAACAGCATATGGAACGCCGAATGTACATATTAAGAGGTTATTCGCATGGGCCGGTACCGTTTTATATTTACTTATTTTTTTTTTTTTTTGCGTGTTTTAGACTTAGTATTGATTTTATTTATTTTGGTTTTTAACGATGCTTGACTATACATTTTTTTTTCAGCATGATTATTACTGTTTTATTAACGATTGCTATTGTTTCATATTGTATCAGAGAAATTTTAACTCCAAAAAAATTGAATATAATTTTAGCGTGTTTTCAAAATTTAGTTATGTAGTGTTCAATATTGAAAAATAATGTTCTTTTTCTTCTTGCAGTTCCCTGAAATGAAATGTCAAGTGTACAATACATAGTTATATTTATGTGTTCTGTTGCGGTATTGATGTAATTTATTGAATCAAATATACTTTTATATCTGAATTGTAAAATTATACAAATAAACAAATAAAGTTACTGTTACACACACGTGCGCCTGCACTGCAAGAGTCTGGTTTTTCTTTTTATAGGATTTCAAAGCAGCGGAGGGTGTAATAAAAATAAAGAAAAACATTTTTTTTGTGGGGGGGGGGAATTTTCACTTTTTCATAGTGGCGGGTGCGCTAATTGACCAAAAATTAAATTTTATTTTTATTTGAAATCACTAAATAAGGTATAAAAAATGTCTCTCCTTAGTGTGTAACAATTTTTTTTAGTAGTGTTTTATAAATTATTTATTTTGGGAAAACGCCGTTTTTCTTGTTTTTTACACAAATTATTTATTATTATTAATTATTTATTTATTATTAATTGTATCATTATCAATTGGTGCTGTTTTTCTTTTTACAAAAAACAATGCAAATGTTACAAATTTGATTGGTTTCAGGCAAATTTCTTCTTCGTTTTTGTGTTTCCATTTACGATTTTTTGATAATGTTTATAAAATTAAATGGAGATTTATAAAATAAGCATTGATTGTTAGTTTGTCATACGTTTGTTTTCTTGTTTGTGTCATGCATTTCATTTACCGTAAATGTTCTGATTATATTTATAATAAAAGTCAATTTAATGCTAACATATTAACTTCAGGTATCAGAATATATTTATTTTTAAAAGTAATACAATTGGGAAAAAGTCGTCCGGCCAAAGCATGTGCGGCCGGTGTGGTTCCGATGGCCCTGCGTCAGTGGTGGGGATATTTGCCATTGGGGTTTATACTGTTTGTCTGATTTAGTTTGTATTGTAAAATACATATATCTCCGCCCATGATTAACGTGTGTACTCATTTTTACCGCTGCAAAGGATGTTAATTTTATTTTCTAGTTTCTTAAAAATAATGACATTTCTTTGTAGTAATTTGGGG